TATAAAAATAGGGAGTATCTTAATGTATAAAAATTGCATCTCATAATAATAATTAAAGAACTGATGTTTATTGTCAGTCAATTAAATTGTTTAAAGGGCAGAATTTAAAAAAAAAACGCATGCTTTGTATTTAAACACAAGACTAACCTATTTAACAGCAAACATCAATACATTTCCATACAAATAGAAATTAAAGGGAAATGACTCAAAATAATATTTTCTTAAGATGGCCGCTGTTTTTAATAGCAAATTTAGTATCTGTAACATCGTTGTTAAACTTTAATTTCCTGACATTTTTATTGATTTAAACCTTAAATGTGGTTTAATATTCAATTATCTTTAGTATTTTAGTAAAATATGCAAAAATATATCCATATTTAAGCCATATTTATTAGTTACCTTATCCCTACATTACTAGTGACGGCCGAATTGATTACGCTAAAGCGATAGATTACCAACAAAGTAAGCCTGCAGCCATTTTTTCTAAGAATTTATTTTTAAAAAGGACGGTTTTTTTTTTGTTTGCCATGTGTGAATGTAAACATTGCATATAAGTAGGCCGTTCGATTCAACCCTTCCGGGTTTGTCATTTTCGTGGCATCTCACGGCTCTTACTAAAATGGCGACCAGTTTCGCTTTCTCTAAACGGTAGAGGGATAAAACTATTGATTACGATGCCATCGTTAATTTTAGAAAACGGAACTATCCGTTTCTATTTCAGTCTGTTATTTAAGAATTCCCAGATGTACTTTTGACCTAATTTCTTTGTCTGTCTCGCAAGCAGCGCGTAAGTGAAAATAGCTCTGTGTATTCTTGTCTTTTAAATCAAATAACTCTGAAATATCGCATTCCTTGGAACCCAGCCTATGTTACTTGAAAACTTTAAACTATTAATTTAACACACATTACAATTAACTGGTAATAATTTCTTGGGTTTATGAGATGTGTTCGTGGGCAAACGATCACCCCCAATAATGCCATTTTATTATAATCTTGTTTGGTGAAAACGAGGCGCGGGAAAATGTGTGCCGCGCGAGAATCCAATCATTTGGCTAGATTTATGACTGTTTTTTTTATTTCACACTTAAAAATAGAATGTTTACGCTTTCTTCGTTGATGATCGTTTTTATTTTCTTTTAAACTGAAAGTATGAATTATAAGTTAGATTGCAAATTTTGTAACTTGGTATACTTACCCTTTATCAATTTTAAAAGCATAGCATGCTAATTGTAAACAAATATAGTCATAAAACACAGAAATATAAAGTTCCAATTGCGATGTGACACACCCGGGTCACACCCCCTCAAGAAAACACGAGTTTATTAAGCTGTTTATCTCACTTTACAACAGTAATTAAAATTTTCCAATTTTTATCACTTAGGCCTATTGGGTAAGATAAAGCACATGTTTACTAAAAATAAAAAATAAAACAAAATGAGGGTTTTAATGAGGGTCACGGGTCAAGTTTTTTTTCCTTCTGTCAAGTTCAGTGGAGGGTGCCACAGGCTGACCTGACCTTGGAATTTTTTTCAGTAATAATGACTTTGCATAGAAAGTTAAAATATGCTAAATTAGCTTAGTTTACTAGTGTTCTAGCTATTATTGATACATTTTCAATTAAAAGAAATCATTCTGTAATTCTCATCAAAAAGCGTAATAAAAGCATACGAGCTGACCCGCAGCGTATCATACGCCGCTATTTAGTTTTTTTATTTTCTACTTTTCAGTAACTCATAATTTGTGAATTCGACAGTACCAATGCTGCCACTGAAAATATTTGCTTTAAAACACACTAACCCCCCCTCTTTTTCCCTAACCCCGACGCTACCCCCCCCCCCCCCGTGAAAGCAGCCTCCTCTTAGTTATTTCTTAGTTACCTTCTGTAAGTTTGACATCGAACTAAATTATCCGCCCCTAATAGAAACCTGGTTCTACAGCTTGACGATTTGTAAACATTTAGAGTGAACACAGCTCACCAGACAATGTGGGGGTGGTAGTGATAGAGAGAAAGAGAGGGGACTGCAAGGAGGCACTTGCAGCTTGTTTTCTAACGGCTCCCAGAAGAGAATTATATATATAGATATCAAACCAGTGCGGTGTCAAAACTGCCCCATCAAAATGGCCAGCGACATATGGACCCCGTCATAAAGGCTCTCGATAAATAGGCTAGCGTCATTTTGGCTCACAACAAAAAGGCTCCTATCAATTTGGCTCCAGACAAAAGGACCGCTGACAATACCGTTTCTGTAGAGGCTAAGTCTTTCGGCAAAGCGGTCTCACTGAATATGACACATGTCAGTGGGACCCCTTCATCAATATTCTTTAGAGTTAGCTTAACCAACACTCTTAAGTATAGGTAGTTTTTAGCTATTAAGAGCTTGATTTGTTTGTGGATTGATGTTGGTTCATGAAAAACAATTTCATTCATGCATTAAAAAGAGTTTATAGTAGTAGTGGAGGTAGGTTAAAATGGTTACTTTTATGCCAATAGTGGTCATACTATTCATATGTCGGGAGTCATTTTGTCGGTAGCCAATATGTCGCAAGTCAGTATAACGGGAGCCAATAAGTCGGGGCTATTTTGACAGTGCACCATCAAACCACATGGAGTCACCCAATTGGCGATCACTGATGATCACCAGTTTCTTTACAGCAAATTATTTACATGTAAATGATGACCCAAACTAAATAGCTTTTGAAGATTATTAAACTGGGTACATTGTTCATAACGTCATCTAAAAGAGTTTACCTTGTAGGCCATATTTAAACAACTGCCTTAGGTCGCTGTGTAATGTGTAATATTTGCATTAAATATTAAAGAATCCTCTTTAGACCTAGTGATCGCTTTGGGCAGATGAAGTAGAGTTCGTGTTTTTTTTTCCTCGGCATATGAAGGGATGTGTGGTCAGCATAAATGGCATAATCATAAAAGAAATTACAAATATTCCACAAGGCTTCAGATCGGCCACCACCAGTTAAATTAGTAATTTTTAAATGCCTGCTACCTAGGTATTAATTTTGAAAAAATCCAATGGAAAGCAGTTTAATCTGGAATGCAGACTAGGCTACGCATTAACTTAACTTGTAAATGTTGATGTGCTGCCGCTCCAAGTAGCTCTGGTAGACATACTGCAGAGGCTGTTTGAGTTGGTTTTTCATTTAAAATGCATATCTCATTCAAATAATCAGAATCACATTTACTTCTTATTAGGCCTACAAGGTTTTTTCTTATCATTAAGCTGAATACACCCGATGCTTAAAGTGTCACTATCAGCAGTTGTTACATAAGACAATAGACATAATAATAAAGAATTTATTTTCTCTCAGTTTCAATGAGCATTTAGCTCTTGGAAAAAATTACTAATTGGGTGGTGTTGAAACAGCCACACTGTCTCTTTAATAGTAATAAATTCTAGGCCTACTGGAAATTTGGAATCTTATTAGTTAATTAATTAGTTAATTAAGTGTGCTATCACTAATGAAATATATTTAATTAAATTATTCAGTTTGTTTTTGTTGCGGCACAAAAAATGCATGCGCTGTATGTGGCCTGACCTTTTTAAATTACATTGTTTATATACTTGTTTTGAGTTTATATTTTTACATACTCAATGCAACAATCCCGCTGGTTAGTTGAGGCCACGCTAGGTCAAGTGTCTGTTCTGCAAAGGATGCAGAGGGTCAACTGAAAATATTGACCCATTAACTGTTTTTAACACCATGACTATTTTATTGAATCTAGATCATTCTATATGTCAAGACAGTAATCTAGCTACTGAGTAGCCTGACTCGTAATCTAAATTAAATTATTTCCTACATTTTATCATGGGAGGAGTTTTGATAAAACATACTAAATTTAGAACAGTTTAAAGTTTAAATAAAAAGACAATTATTTTCATTGATTCAAAATTTACTAACCAAGTTAATTTGTAGATTTATATTGAACACTGAGGAGGGGGTGGTACTGATACAACAATCCTTTTCATTAATATAAGTATATTTTTAAAGTAATTTACCATGACAATAGACCTATTTCAAAATCTTATTCAGACAAGCCTGACAACCTGCCCATAATGTAATTTTTCCAGTCATTTTGTTAAAAAAAAATTGTCTCGTTCGGCTGTTTCAATTTCGTGAGCAAAAAAATACAAATAAAACAATATTTATAAGCTTAGATCAAATTGAAAGAAGAGTAAGGTCGATGGTGTGATCTTACTTTGACCCTACTAATGTTTTAGCTATGGTTTATAATTAAAATAATTTATAATGAAACTAATCGTATTTGGAAAAAACCTCAATTACACCCACATAGATATACTCTTTTACACAAAGTACAGCAGTAAGTTTCCTGTCATTAAAATATAATATGCCAGTTTAGATATTTTAAAGAAATATCACAAGGTAAAATTAAAATTACTTTTTTTTAATCACAAGAAGTCATTTTGTTCATTCCCGTAAAAGATGGTATATAATAGTATAATAGCCAATAATTGTCTTCATTCCAATAGATTTTGTGATAATCTAACCAGATTGAACCCAGATAGTTTGTAGACTATAAAATAAGTATCTTTTTTGAATGATAACATGTTTTAAACGGTACAGACAAGAGTACATTGTTAGTGAAATAGTTTTGGAATAAGTTAGTAGGTTTAATACTCACCATGCTGATATTTTCATTTTAATTGATTTGCACTGTTTTGTTGTCATTTCATTTTTAAAATTTCAACGATTACTAATTAATACTAATAGTTTTGCAAATTCTGCTTCGCTACTGATTACTTCCTCAAATGTTTGTTGTACATCCCTGCCTATATTTCATGATTCTTGGGTATATTAGAGTTTGAAAAGAATATCAAATACTCCCTTGATCATATTGTCATAAATATGAAGGCTTGAAGAAAAGTACTATCCTACATTTTCTTGGTAGATAGTTTTTTGCAGTGTTAATGTAATATTTTCTGCAACCAATATAATAATACCAAATTTTATTTTTGTTTTAGCTTCGTTTGAATAGTATCAAGAAGCTCGGAACTATTGCATTGGCATTAGGAGTAGAGAGAACTCGGTCTGAGCTTATTCCATTTTTGACTGGTGAGTTACAAATTACTGACTACTTCTTTTTGACACTAGAACTAAGTTTTTGCTTTTAAATTTATTTATTGATGTCTAATTATCTGTATACCTATCAATCTATCTCACCAGATACCATTTATGATGAGGATGAGGTGTTATTAGCCCTTGCTGAGCAGCTGGGAAGCTTCACCCCATTGGTTGGAGGTCCCGAGTATGTTCATTGCTTACTGGTAGGTTCTGTTGAATTCTATCTCCTGTCTAGTGTGTTGATCGGTGTGCCATGTTTGCTTCTTGCTGTAATGTATTTGGGTATCTAGCCAAGATCTAGGTTTAATAAAGTTTTATCCTTGGAACAATTAGGAAAGTCCCTAAAGTCCAGACTGGGACTGACCATGTGTTGTTTCTAGCTTTCTGGTCTGTTCTTTAAATAATAAATGTGCTCTACAAATAGAGTTACTGATCTCTTTTTATCTAGTGTAAAACGATACAAAATTCCTCCTTCTTTTTCTCCGTGATGTCTATTAATGCTTGCGTGTAACATATTGATTCCATAGTGGTTGCGTAAAAAGTGTCCAGTAATAAATCATATAAAGATTTCTAGCACTAGATTGCATGCTGAAAAGTATTACTGTATTCTATATTCTGGGAGGATCTTTCAAGCTGTACTGGTAAGCTTATTATATCTCTGCTGATAAGGGATTAATAAGGGAGGTAAGCTTTCTTGTCATGCAACAAGGAGCTTCAACATTTTTAACAGTGGTTTTTATTTTCAAGAGAGCTCATTTGTTTTGTTAGAGTGGTAGGAGGAGCACCTCACATCTGTTTGTGAAATATAAAGTTTAGGTTGTTGTCTGAAAATGAATGATAGACGTTATAAGAAAATTGAAGATAAGGTTGAAGATGCTGATGATGATTTGGGACTAATTGACTGGAATTGTATGTTTCTTGGGTTTTCCATTATTCCCCGGCTGATATTTGGACTTGTTCGTCAAATTGCTGTGTCATTTGGGAAATTAGTATTTGGTTCATTCAAAAGTGATAGAAAGAAGTTTTATTGATTCTTGGCTTATTTCTTCCTATGTAGTATTTATTGGAAATAGCATTTCATTTTGAAAAAAAATTATGCATATTATATTTTTGTGAGTGTTTCTGCTGTTGATTTTAAAAGTCGAATTATTTCATAGGTAAGTTTTCTTTATAAGAAATCTTGTATGTGGTGATAGTTAATATTTTTTACCCTTCATTTTGTTTGTTGCTTAGCACCTATGTATGAGTTTTGCCATTAGTTTTAAAGCATTGTTGATGCTGAATTCAATGGTAACAACTGATCAGGAAAATCAGCTCAATAGATCTGAAGTAATGTAACTATGTTACTTTGTTGATTTATATACCTTTAAGTATATTGCTCATGACCACAGCTAAACCCTTTAAAATGTAATAGTATTACATTATTATTAGCAGTAATAATAAAAATCACCAAATCAACATCCTAGACCTCTTTAAATGTGCTTGGCTCAAGCTCAAAACCAGTGCTAGGTACAAAATTACCCACTCAATCACAGTAGTCCACATTTATAAACTCATGGATCATAGTGTATACAATCTCTTATTTCACCAGCCCCCTCTTGAAAGTCTCGCTACAGTTGAGGAAACTGTTGTCAGAGACAAGGCAGTTGAATCTTTGAGAATAATCGCTGATCAGCACAATCAGGGTGATCTTGAGAACTACTTTGTTCCCTTGGTCAAACGACTTGCCGGTGGTAAGTAGTGATATCTGCTTATGTTTTACTAATGAACTTCATTAGCTTCTAGATTTAGACTACACTTTACTGTTAAGAATTTTTTGTCTTCTAACTACACGTTCAATTTTTAGGCGATTGGTTTACATCTAGAACTTCAGCATGTGGACTTTTTTCTGTATGCTACAAGCGGGTCTCCACCAATGTGAAGGCAGAACTTCGTCAGTAAGTCTTACATTCATGGTTTTTTTTTTTATTTCCATGTTTTTTTTTTTTGGCTGGTAGTCTTTTAGTTGTTTCTTGTCGCAAAGTTTCATAAAACATAACAATGTATTGTTCTTTTAACTTTCTTGAATTAACCATTTGTTGTGTTTCATCTATAAAGTGTACAGTTTAAGTAATGCATCTAATCCCTTCTTGCAGGAATTTCCGTAGCTTGTGTGCTGATGACACCCCTATGGTTCGCCGCGCAGCAGCTGGAAAGCTTGGGGAGTTTGCTAAAGTTGTTGAATCTGAGTATCTCAAGTCTGATCTCATTCAGCTTTTCAACATGCTGGCACAGGATGAACAGGTGGGGCGTCTTTAATGAAGTTTTCAATTTGTTCTAATTAATCAATCATCAGTTCTCCTAATATTTGCTATTTATCGTTCATTCAAATCAATAATAATAATAGCTAATTTAAATTACATAATGTATTATTATAGAAAAAAGAACTTGTTTAGAAAATAAAGATTAACTTCAATGAACTACATTCTCCCTGTACTATTTATTTTTACAACCTTTTAAAAATATAATAAAACAGTATGAGGATAATTGTGTTTAAACAATGTATTATAATTATGCTGTAATTCCATGTAGGATTCTGTGCGTTTGCTGGCTGTTGAGGCAAGTGTTAGCATTGCATCATTGCTCCCCTCAGAAGATACTGAGCAGTTGGTTATGCCAACACTCCGCCAAGCAGCTGAGGATAAATCATGGAGGGTCAGATACATGGTAGCTGATAAATTTACTGAGGTAACTTTTCCATTTCACTCACTAATATCATAATACAGAGCATTTCAATATTTCCTGTAAATGTATGGAAATTGATGTGTGACAGGATAACCCTTCCATTACAAATGTACTAAAAATTAAAAAAAAATTAAAAGTGAATGGAAGATCTGTTTGAGCTAGTTTTGTAATTTATTTTTAATTAATTATTTACCTTTGTAGCTACAAACAGCTGTTGGGCCTGAGATCACCAAGAATGATTTAGTCCCAGCTTTTCAAAGCTTGTTGAAAGATTGTGAGGCAGAAGTGAGAGCTGCTTCAGCACACAAAGTCAAAGGTTAGTTTCATTTGGATTTTGTTGTGGGGTGAACCCACTTAATCCAGCTTTCTTGAGAGTCACATGTTCAGTTGTCAGGCATTAAAACTACTACTTGAATAGATGTGAAAATTGTTTAAGGAAAAGAAATATATTACCTCTCACATTTTTTATTTAGTTTTGCCTGAAGTATAGTTTTAAAATGTGGTTCCATAAATATTATTCTAGCATAATTAAATGTTAAACTGCCTCTCTCTAGATCCATGATCACAACTAGTAAACAATTTTTATTATGAAATGAATACAGCAGATTTTATTGTTGGACTTAACGTATTTGTATTTTTATTTTTTTCCCCAGATTTTTGTCAAGCTCTTTCCCCTGACGTGCGCGAGCAGATCATAATGACCAATATGTTACCATGCGTGAAAGACCTGGTTGCTGACGCCAATCAGCATGTCAAGTCTGCTCTCGCATCTGTAATCATGGGCCTATCCCCAATCCTAGGAAAAGACAACACTATAGAACACCTCTTGCCTCTATTCCTGACACAGTTGAAGGGTAAGTATCATTGACTACAGCATGTTTGTTAAAAGAAAATGTATGTTTTAGAATAAAAAATATGTTTTGCAATTAAACTTTAAATTTGTACTACTGTTTCTTAGCCTGTATTGCATCAATGAAATAATTTCAAATCATCTTAGAAGTTCAATAAACGTACCTGAATTAGGCTTAAGCTTGCTTTTAAAATTTATTTTAATATTAAAATGTACTTTCAACAAGCGTTTTAATGTTATTGAAAATTTGAAGGTATTAAAACTTAACTATAGATTTGTTATTTAGAAAACTTTGCTTGTTTTATTTTAATTAAATTGTTTTTTACTGGTTTAAGTTATAGGTATAACTCATGTAATGCATTTTTAAAACCCTTACTTCTTATGCTTATCTTAACATCACCTCTATTACTTTAAACTATACCTGTTTTCCTATGTCTATTAGATGAGTGCCCCGAAGTAAGACTAAACATCATCTCTAACCTGGACTGTGTGAATGAAGTAATTGGCATTAAGCAGCTATCTCAGTCGTTGTTACCAGCAATTGTTGAGTTGGCAGAAGACACAAAATGGCGTGTTCGCCTTGCCATCATCGAATACATGCCCCTTCTTGCTGGTCAATTGGTGAGTTTATTTTTGTCCAAATAAATTTATGTATAGAGGGTTACATTAAAAGATTAAGCCAAATGATTAAAAATTAACCAGCTGTATAATAATAAACTTTCAACATGGTACTAGTGAGCTAAACAGTTATTTCAACATTTGTTTATTTGTCTACAGGGGGTGGAGTTCTTTGATGAGAAGTTGAACTCCTTGTGTATGACATGGCTTGTTGACCATGGTAGGTTGCCATATAAAATTATACCTTGCAGAAATTAGTAAAATATTATTTTTACATTTTAATTTTTTTTTATATATATTGTTCTGTGTAAATTAACACTGAGTGACTTTTACACTACCATAACAGTGTATGCCATCCGTGAAGCTGCGACCCTGAACTTGAAGAAGCTGGTAGAAAAGTTTGGTAAAGATTGGGCCCAGCAGACAGTTATACCAAAGGTCTTACAAATGTCCCGCGACCAGAACTATCTCCACCGCATGACTTGTCTCTTTTGTATAAATGTGAGTACTCATTAGTTTTTCCTTACAGAGTGAAATCCTACTTCATATTTTTCCTTCTCCCGACAACATATATTATGTTTTTTAAAATTCCCACATTTTTAAAATATGTAACATGAATACAAAAACTTAAGGTGGAAGTTATTTCAAATATTATTTCTTTTTTACTTGTATTCAAATAAACTTTTAACTTCATTTTTTTGTTGAGGAATCAGGATAGATTTTTATACTTCCAATAAAGTATGTCATTTTGCAATAATGTTAAAAAAATTCATAATTGACTGCTGTCAAATAAACAGTGCATTATCTGTCACACATCATTGATTTCACTGTGGTCGAGTCGGTAAAGCTCATGGTTGCTAAACCGACTCATGGTTGCTTAACCGAAAGAAGGCTCGAGTTCAAACCCTCGGGCAGATGAGGCTTGTTAGCTGGGGACAGCCACTCTTCTAGGAGAGACAACTCCAAAATTAAACAACTGCTGCCTTGTAGTTTGTTCTTGGTTGGACAAAGGCTATAGAAGCAAATCCAAAAAGAAAAGCAGGCTGAAATCAGAGTCAATGGCGCATAACCAGTTGACACGTATCCTTAATTGTGATGGAGGCATGGTTGAGTCGGCAAAAGTTCATAGTTGATAAATTTTAAAAAGTCTGGAGTTCAAACCCTCTGGCAGATAAGGCTCGATCTCGTCTAACACTAAAAGTTAAGAACAAAGAAAGAATCTATTAAAGCTCATGTCTTGTTTGTTGCAGCTGCTTGCTGAACCTCTGGGACAGGATTTGACCACCAGATTGATGTTGCCTACAATCATCACTATGGGATCAGACCCCGTCGCAAATGTCAGATTCAATGTTGCAAAAACCCTACAGAAACTAGCACCTCATTTAGACCAGGGGTACATGTTTTCTTCTTTTATTAATTATCTAAACCATAACACATTTTTATTGAATTAATTTCTCAAAAATTAAATTTGAGTATCTGGGAAATAATTTTCTGTTAAAAGTTTTTCTTTAAAAATTTGAATTTAGATTTCCTGTTATTAAAGGTTTACTAAATTATTTAAACTCGTAAAATTTTAATATTTTAAGTTATTTTATTTCATGTTAAAAATTTAACTACTTTAGTTGATCCCACTTTGCCGGTATTTTAACTAAAATTCTGTTTCCTTCTAATAACTAATTTTGATTGTAACTTTCAGCTCTATTCAGACTCAAGTGAAACCATTATTGGAGAAACTAAAGGCAGACGGTGACATGGATGTCCAGTATTATGCCTTGGAGGCTTTGGAAGGTATTACAATTTAACAATTAAAAACCACAAGTTTTTAGTACCTCATGATTTGAATTTGAAGTGTTGTAGTACAACATTCTTTTTTTGTCTTCCAGGGCTCAAGTAAACAAGAGACAAGATTTTATTAAGTATTTAGTAAGTTGTTGTCTTTTACCTTTTAACCCTTTACAGGCTTATAAGCCCGCGGTTGCCCGAAAATTATTTTTTGTGGCAGTCTGGTGCTTTTTATTGCTTTTTAACTTATTTTTATAATGTAAATGTATACTTTGGTTGTAAAATGTGTAAATCTGATATATTTTTCCTTGTGATTGTCAGTTCTGTTTATTACAATATCCGTAAAAATCAATTATTTTACTTATGTATTACTTATGTAAATAGTACATGTAATTATACCAAATTATTGCCCATTCATTTTATGTCCTTACAATTTAAAACTTTGATTAAATTTTTTTCTTCTTTTAAAAGTTTTTTTTTAACATTACAGTTGAACAAAGTGTGTCAAAATTGGCTGTTCAATAAACCATGCCAGATCTAGATATTCAGAAATGAATTGATCATCACAAGACTCAAACATCAGTGCTTTAAAGTGGAATAGTTGAACTTTATAAGAACCTTTGGCATTAAAAGAGAAAAGAAAGACCTAGGCTGTTTGTTTTTTAAAGTACTGGCGTTTCATGGCTACATTTGTGATATCATTCTTTGTCGTACATAGTCCAGATTTCATTCTCCACAGTTGTGGGGCTATTTTTGTTTTAGAGTTAAAAAAAACTTGAAATTACTGTTTAAAGGTTAATGATTGATTTTTGTTTAATGGTGAGATGTCCAAAAATTTAAATAAAATCACACAGGCTTAATATGTATTAACTCTTAACATATAATTTTCTATAATCATAAAAAGTTATTTTTTAATATACTTTTTATTTGGACAAAGTGGGACAATTTGTTTTACCTTTTATAGTTAAAATTCTCGACTGTAAACCTGGTTAACATGTCTCCTACTGTTATATACTAAGAGTTGACACAAAAAGGTGAGTTTGCCAATATACAATTGCCTGTAGTCATCCGTCACACATTCATAGAATAACCATGTATCTATAGTTGTAATCAATTTTTGTTTAGTTTCTTTTCTAAGTCAAACTTTTTAACCTGACCTTTATGTTTGATATTGTTTCCATTTGTTTGTTTTCATTTGTTGCACATTGGTGTCACTCTTTTAGGTTTTTTAAATTATAAAATAAATTGTAAAAATTTAGGAATTTAAGTTTTTTAAATTTTGTACAATTAAAAAAAATTGGTTTCATCTTAAAAAAAGTAAACAAGCAATGCTGTTGTTGAGTTTGTTTTTTGTTTTGGTTTTAAGAACAAGTTTTTTATTTGAAAATTTGATGAGATTTGGATCAAGTCAATATTTTCCTTGTACATCTGTTTTGATAAAGTAAATAACATTTTTAGGAATGTCCATTTATAACAATTAAAGTTTGAAATTTTCTTTGTGTTTGTCTTCTTGTAAAAATTAACTTTGTTGGCGACTAAAAGTAAAAAACTTAAATGTTAGAAATTAATGTATAAAGAATCGGCTATATTATGCTAGCAAAATCTGTGGCAATGACCAATACACCACTTCTTCATTTCAGCAGAACATATTCTTCAAAAATATGATAAGGTTTAGTACATTCTTGTATAAGCAGTCATAAAAAATTAATTAGAATTGGAGCCTACTTGTTCTTTTCAGGCCTGGCTGTCCTTAAAGCAGAGGTGTCGTTTATTAATTAAAGGAGTCATGTCCCTATCAGCTGCCTTGTTATATTTGGAAACACATTTGAGATTTTGGTTTTTTTATTGAATGCTCCACTGCTAAGTTACTTGATTAGCAGCTAGTGTAAGTTTATTTTTTTCCACTTGCTGGTCAGGCCATGCACTGGCCTTTGTGAAAAATGTATCTGTAAAGGAACTTGGCTTAAGCAGCAAATACCCAGCACTGCTTGGGTTTTGGGAATATATTTAGTTTCCAATTAAATGTCTACATGCAAATATTAACGTTTGAGAAAATGTATATTAGTATAAACCAAATCCTAACCACATCCATGAGCATTAACACAAACCATAAGTATACAATTTGAAAACTTGTATGTATAAAAAAAGTAATTGTTCTGGTATTAGAACTAGACATTTCATTGGGACTTGTGATTAAGACAACATAACAATTAGGATCTGTTAATTTTAACATTTTTCACAACAATTATAAATTAGGTTGTGGCATTATTTCTTCTGTTTCCTCTTTGTTCTTAATTTTAGTGTTGGAAGAGATCCCCCTTCAACACAATTAAGTATACGTGTCAACTAGTTATACGCCATTGAGGTCATTGACTCAGATTTCAGCCTGCTTTTCTTTTTGGATTTGCTTCCATAGCCTTTGTCCAACCAAGAACAAACTACAAGGCAGCAGTTGTTTGATTTTGGAGTTGTCACTCCTAGAAGAGTTGCTGCCCCCAGCTAACGAGCCTCATCTGCCTGATGGTTTGAACTCGACACTTTTCAGTAAAGCAGTCATGAGCTTTACCGAATCGATCAAGCCGACTCCTGGCATTATTAATTTGAGCTAAAGGTAGCTGCTCCAACTCTTAATTTTCTAAACCATCCTTGTTTCTAAAAGAAAGCATGAGTGTAAAAATAAAACGTTTGTATTGGAGTACTCTACTGTTAAAACAAGGATATATAGATAAAAAACAATGTACAATCTTATCTTTTAAATCATACTTACACAAGGAAGACGCATAACACCTGTCTGTTAGTGTTGCCCCGCCCCCTCCCCCCCCCCAATAAAATCAACCCCAACTAGCATAGGTTTATTGATTATACATTGACAATTTCAAAGCGTAGCTTCAACACCCACTAGTTTTGTACCCGGTGATTATCATAGATAAGCCCATGCGTGTGTGTAAAGGGTAGGGGTGACGTAATAGATTGTGTAGATTTCTTTTTGTTCTTTCTGTTTCTGTTCATGAATGTTCATAGGTATGTATAAGTTAAAGCAACATGTTTAAATTCTAACACGATATGATATAATTTACGTAAGTCTCAGTATCGCTTTGAGTCTATTGGCAAATGCACCTAACACTGCTATTTGGTTGGTTCATGAACGGTAATTAGGCCAACTATTACTATTAAATAGCTCTAAAGCATTTGGATGGTTTAAAAAAAACGGATTACAAACAAACAGTAAATACATGCCCTCTTTGTGTCTAGCATAATTAAGCAAACATAGCCTAACTCATTAAATCCGGCATAATAATCAAGATATTCATTCATGTTCTAAGTTGAATCATTTTAAAAAGTTACAACTGTCGCTCTCAGTGTTTCTTCCAGACTTTTTTCTCCAGGGGGGGGGGGGGGGGAGGGGTTATTTATCTACTGCTTTCGATGATCGAAAAGTCCTGGATAACTGAAATCTATTTGAGGATATTTCAGCTCTAAATTTAAATCATAAAATATGCAGTTCTTAAAATAGCTATTGAGATTTTTGGGAGTGGGTGAATGGTGGACTAGATAAAGCTTTTTATCACAGCTTGTTGTTTGTGGCTTTCTGTTTAGCGTGTTTTAGATTTAAATAACTAAAAGCAATACAACTCAGCAAACGAATTGTAATCTAGCATTTATTTAAGAATTGAAAATCGTCTGTTTCTGCATGAGGAAATTAGAGCTACTTCTTTGTTTATTAAAATAGAATACTGAACGTGTGCACAACTTCATTTAAAAAAGAGCCAATTATTTTTAGTTTATATATATTACTAGTATTGCAAAAGACATAATACTATTTTTCTGGACTTTTGAAGACATAAATAATGGTCTTTGTGTATGTTGAAAATACTTCGGCTCTGAAATATTTCGCTTTAAAGTATTTGGAAATTTACATTTTTGGCTTTTTTTTTACTAGAAACACAGGAAACATGTAGAGCCAGTAATTTATTGGAATTCCTAAAATATTTTACTACGAAAATATTTGGTGACTAAAATATTGAGCCTGGTATTACTTCTCCCACTGAAAGTCGATATATTTTATCGTTGTAGATATTTTCACCACTAAATGCTGTTAACCAAAGCACCACCTAACTTTGAGATAATTAATTAACACTATCAACAGGTCGGAGAAATTTGTCTTCCCGTTCCTCTAACAAGACTCGTATTTGTGTTTACAATGGCACACCCCTCTCATCGGACTCACGGTAACTAGCGGCAGATGTCGTTTTGTTAGACTAGTTGTAGCACTGTCAAACTGGTAGTAGCACTGTTAAACTAGTTGTAGCACGGTTAAACTAGTTGTAACACAGTTAAACTAGTTGTAACAGTTAAAGTAGTTGTAGTACTGTCAAACTGGTAGTAGCACTGTTAAACTAGTTGTAGCACTGTTAAACTAGTTGTAACAATTAAACTAGTTGTAGTTGTATCACTGTCAAACTGGGAGTAGCAATGTTAAAATAGTTATAACACTATTAACCTAGTTGTAGCACTGTTAAACTAGTAGTAGTTGTAGCACTGTTAAACTAGTTTTAGAACTTTTAAACTAGTTTGTTGCACTGTTAAACTAGTTGTAGTTGTAGCACTGTTAGACTATTTGTAGCACTGTTAAACTTGTTGTAGCACTGTTAAACTAGTTGTCGTTTTTTAAAACCGATTTCTACTTCCCCCACTCCCCTCCGTCACACATCGTTACAAAAAGCCTGACCCCCCAAATAAAATGACGTCACACCTTAGCCTACAAATCCCCCCTCCCCTCAAAATCGCAGTTAAGTTTTTCTTAAAATACGATATTTTCCAAAATCTTGTCTGAACTCTGTCAACATAGAGTATTTTAATCAATTCCTGTGACAATTTATTAAAACAGTTTTCTAAAACGCAAAATGACGGCTAAAATTCGTTTTCTAACATTGCTTTTTTAAAATGGTGTTACGTCACATTTGAACCCCCCTTTCCTATTATCACACACCGTAACAGAAGTACGGACCCCACTCCCCCCTACGAATTTGACGTCATTTATGGACGACCCTTAAGAATGTTTAGGTCAAAAAAAAAAAAAAACCAAAACAAAACAAAAACAAATTTACTAGATCTATTAGTTTTTTGTTTTTTTTAAATGTTTACAGATTATTTTTTATGTGTTATGTTAACTAGAAATAATATAAATTATTTTTAAAAAATACTGGTTTTCACCCATATGATTTTATCAACTACAGAAGCGAGTCCCTGCGGAATTGGATGTGTGGTCCACTTACCGAACGGTAAAAAAGCTGAGCCACTCGTATCAGAAACATGCACAGCAATGGAGGTAAGCCACTTGTGTCATTTTATCATAACTACCTTTATATGTACACTAAAACTAAAAAAAAAGAATTATTTTCTTTAATTATATAATAATGCACCAGTATTTAAATATTTATAAAATAAAGCATAGGTCGCTATATTATGTGATTAAAACCATTGCTAAAAAGAATTATTTTCTTTAAATATATAAAAATGCACCAGTTTTTAATTATTTATAAAATAAAGCATAGGTCGCTATATTATGTAATTAAAACCCTTGCTAAAAAAATTATTTTCTTTAAATATATAAAAATGCACTAGTATTTAAATATTTATAAAATAAAGCATGGGTCGCTATATTATGTGATTAAAACCCTTGCTAAACTTTAATAAGCTTTACAAAACTCTTGTTTTTATACATATTTAAAGAAAATAACTTATTTGATATTTCTTAGTGCATATATAAAATCATGTTATCAGAACGTTATTTATTTATTTTTCTTTTAGTTCAAGCAACAGTGTTTTTATCTGACACCTAAATTTGACAAAAACGCGTTTAACGTAGTTCTTGTGCATCATGACGGTACTCAGGAAATAATGAAGGATGATGAGGAATTCGGAGCTGAAAGATTACATGAGTGTAAAATTATCAAATTCACTCCCATAAAGTAAGTCAATGACATTGACATTTTAAAGATTTTACCATCACAGCGATTAAAATGTATGACTGACGTTTTTTTCTATTTCTACTGCATGATGTAGCCGGCAAGAAACAGCACTCCACTGAAATTGAAAGTAGTGTCTTGGGCTCAGAGTTTCTTCCAGGCATCTCTCCTCTACTGCCCCCCCCCCCCCCCAACGAGATGGAATTTATATATTAAAGATACATTTTTACTAGTGTCCGCCCCCCCCACCCCCCCCCCCCCCCCGAAAAATTTTGACCGCCCCCCCCCCCACCCCCGAATATATCAAGTGTCAACCGGAGAAAGTCTGTAAGAAACACTGCTTGGGCTAAGTTGTACTGTATGGCTAAATTAAAGAATCAAAATAAACAATAAAACACTATCAATGAGTTGAGAAGAAAGTTATTATAAACGTATTTATTGTGTTATTGGATTTCTTTGTAAAGAATGGACAGTTACATATCTTACGTTTCTGCTATTAAGAAAGATAATCATCCTGAATGAAATTGGAGGAAAGAAACATTGAATATCTTTAACTAAAGATTTTTATAATAGCTTACAGTAATTTTGATTTGTTTTTGCGCAGGTCACGATTTTTAAAAATTAACTTTGGGGTGGGGAGGGGGGATATGTAAAAAAAGAGCAATACTTCATATAAAAACATGTTTACGGTTTGGCAATCCAGCCATAGTACCGCTACACAGTTTAAAAACCTACACACATTGTAAAAGATATTATGTAAACTTTCTCGCATTTATAGCTTTCATGAGAGTCTCAATTTCTAAATCAATCTGCCTTACTGAGCGGCTCAAAATACAGTGTCGTTGAGAATAGAGTTCGATCAGCTGACTGGCTTCATTAAATCTAATTTGCTGAACTGGGTTACAATCGAGGGCGGGTTGGCTATGTCCAAGAGGCCCTGGAAATTTTAAAAGGGGCCCCCAACCCATGATTGAAATCTTTTCACTATGCAATTTTTTTTCTCCACCAGAGCCTAAATTTTACGGCTTGATATGAAGTACTGGAAATGGTAAAAAAAATTGGAGAAATACCAACAAGTTATTTTTAAAAATCTAAACGCTAATGGGATTATTACATCACCATTCCTGATGCCCATTGAGATTTTCCCTGGGGGCCCACTACTATTTCTCCCGGTAGAAGATGGCTTTCTATTTTTTATCTTTATTAGAGTTAACGTCGGAAGTAAATATCAATAAAAATGTTAGCCTACATATTGAAACAATTTCCGTTAATCGAATGTTTAAAATCTGGTAAGGTGTAAGGGTAGCTTATACAGCTAAATGTTATTAACCAGGCCGAAACTCTATCATTTTAAAAATAGAAAGCGAAAGTTGAGCACCGTCTGTTTGTCCGCGATAAGGCGATCCTATTCACACTATAGTTTAGTCTTTAATGGTGCTATTGACACAGTTTTTCCAAAACCAGTTGACGTCAATGGCTGACGAAATGATCACCCTTTGAAACAACCCGGACGTTTTTTTTCTATTATCAGCCAACGATTTGTTTGAACTGTGTGGCGATACTAATCGAATTTTTAAAAAAAGATCGTATTTTTAGTACACATTATGCTTACTGCTTGCTAGTCAGCTTTATTTTACTGAAAGCACATTCATGTAAGCTCGGTTTAATTTAACTAAGAAGCATTAATGGAAGACACAAGTACGGCATTCAAAGATTATTTTTGTTAGGTTGTTCTCACATTCTGTGCTTAAATCCAGTTTGGTTTTCGTTTTAGGAATAGTTTTTGCATTAGATATTTTAATATATTTTAAAAGGACTTAAATACCTATTGATAATTTAGCTTTTTTTTTTACATTTTATCAAAGGTATGACAGATTTGATAATACTCGAAATTATTTTGTATGCTATTAGCTTTTAGTCGGAATAAAAAAATGACAACTTTTTATTCGAGAGCTGAGAATACTAAGTACAATAGGCATGAAAAGTCTATGTAGTCATACTAAATTGTTGAAAAAAAATCTTTTAAAAAATATGGCAAGCGATAAAATTATAGTTAAATTTGTAAAAATTAAAGCCGTTTAGGAACCATCGACTACACTCATTTTTATTTTTGTATCGAATATTAGCCGTTGAACAATGAAAAGCCGTTTAGAATTATTTTATCAATTCAAATATTTTCAAAAAGTGCTCGCAACCTCTCCTTGGCGTCAACTGTAATGGCCAGGGAGAGTAAAACAATAAAAGCTAGAACAATTGTTTTTCATGATAAAAATACACAATAGTGATCTATGGTAAACAGCGTAGTATTGTATTTATACACAAATGTTATACCATTTTCTATTTTGTTTAAAAAATATTTGCTTTCTAGCAACAGAATTTGGAACCGTTTAGAACCAGCTTTTCAAGTCTATTGTTATAATATAATCATTACATTCCTGACATAATAATTATAAAATAATCTATTTATTGCAGATTAGATATTGCTCGGTTTATTGCAGATTGAAATTGCATATTTTGCATTTGTTTTTTTTAAAAAAAACTAACGAGTAAACGTAATGACAATTATTACTTAGGGGTGAAAAAAAAGTTCCCTTTTCAAACCTGACGGTCTATAGGGCAAGTGAAGTAGAGTTCACTTGTTTCTGTGACCTCGGCATATGAAGAGATAGTGTGATCAGCACTAATCCCAGCCGCCTTTACTTTCCCTAACGTGAGTTAGGTACCCATCTGAGTTGGGTGGACTCAGGGACGGTCTACTGAATTGAACCCGGATTCGAACTAGAGAAATAATTATGATAGAATATTAAAAAAAATTTCGTGCTTAAAACTTAAATGGCAACGGAATAATCTTTTGTTTACTTAATATAAAACTCTCACTTAAATATTTGCATCGGAAAAAAATGTCTCTTCCATATGTTATCAATACATAAAGATAAGCATATTTTGAAAGAGTGTTGTTATTAGTATGGCTTAATATGGCTCTGTTCACCATCGCAAACAGTGTTGATAAAAACTAAACTATGACATAGTTGTATTGTTTGTAGCATGACAAAATAATATGATTTTTTAATCTGATATAATTTTTAAGAAAGCGATGTTGCTTTATAAAGTCAATATTATATAAACAATGGATCATATTTAAGTCTAAATAGATTAGACCTATACGAAAATAAAATTAAAATAGCTGTTCTCAAGTTAATTAAACAATTTTTCAAATGTGCCATGATCCCCAACATAAACTGTGCAATATTTGTATGTACGACTGAAGACCCAGAAAAGAATGTTAACCTATAGAGTGCCATACATTGAAACGAAATTTTAGAACCGCTGGATATAAGTAATATCATTTCAGTAAAACTCCGGTGATTCAAATCTTAAAATAGCTGCGGGAAAACCCCCTAAAATTCCACACGACAGAATTTTACATTAAACAGTTTCGATTGCGCTATGACTAGCTGAAGTAGCACGAGCTAATTCTTGGACACGGCATTGAACTAGAGAGTTGGAAAGAGCCGAGAGCTAATTCTAAATGTCTTCTGTAGAATTTGAGTCAGATGTTAACCCTAGAAAGGCCGATTGTGGTAAGTTAAAACAACTTTCGTCTATAAAGTTCTTCATTTCTCCCGTGTTCGACTTTATTCAACTATGTGTGAGTTAGAATTATATATATATATATATATATATATATATATATATATATATATATATATATATATATATATATATATATATGTATAAATATATATATATGTATATATATGTATATGTGTATATATATATGTATATGTATATATATATATATATATATATATATATATATATATATATATATATATATATATATACATATATAGAGGGTATAGAAGACAAGAAGATAAACGCTGTATGTCCAAAGAAACATAGTCTCGAGAAAAATCTCATTCCAATATTAAAGTATTGCAAAATATTATGTTTAAACATTCATAAAATATTTGCATTCTACTTTTCGGACATTGTACCTAAGTGTTCTTGTAGCTTATATTTTTTACATTATCAGTATAAATGTACATTGGTTTGACCTAAAAAGTGGACATACTGCATTTGTCCTCTATACCCTCGATATATAAATTAAGGCATGTTTGTTTGTCTACTTGTCTGTCTTTCATACTCTACTTCATAATTTACCCGATTGGTATGACACGTATTGAGTACGTTTCAGCGAAAAGACTCGACATAATAAAAAAATAAAAATAGACTAGCCCAAGGGCCCATATCGTTCTCTGGGCTGTCTAAATCTTTCGAATGCTTCAGAGAATTAACTCCCCCTTAAGCACTCAGGCGCCTACATTTGTTTTAAAGAGCGCCCTACACTACGGTGGGCTACTACAGCGACCGGTACCTCTGTGTCCACTAAGAATAAGATAGTGTGACAATTTTATGCATTCAATCGCTATGAAATACTGGAAAGCTGTTCATAATACCCCAGTAAAGGTTTCAGACATGGTTTATTTTATTTTTTATTTTTGTAGCACTAGCGGCAGTTTGTGGCTGTGTAATTTAGTTAAGAAAAAATATTTATTTTTCGATGTTTTACGCAGCTAAAAATAATTATATCCTGCGTAATTTTAAAGCTTTAAACATATTAAAAAATTTAATAAAATATAGTATCGATTTAAGCTAAATATTTAAAAAATAAAATGTGAAAAATATATTCTGTGATTTAGGTCAATTAGACTTGGAGGACGCTGAAGGAAGCCTTAAAGAACAAAGAGAAAAGTGCTCCAAAATTAAACGCCACGCCGAATTCATAAGTTGGCCGGACTTTAAAGCCGACCCTAGGAAGTTTTCCACTAGCTTAAAAGGAAAAAGAGTGACAAATTTTGTATTAGCTAAAGGCGCCTTGACCGTAAGACTGTGCGTTGGGTATGTCAGTAAAAACAGGGTCAAAACAGATAAATTGTTCGCGCAAAGAGGGACGTTTTCCCCGCATACCGGAAGTGGATTGGTTATATTTAGAACAGAATCAACCATTGATAGATGTTTACATGGTGAAAACTGTCTGAAACCTCATTGGAGGATTTACGTTGTCACAGCGACACATGTTGTGTCTGGTCACAAAGAAGCGGAAAATGTAACAATAGATTTGGATTACGACTTTGAGAGAAACGAGCCAGGTCGAATAATCAAGAAATTTTACGGAGTTCGGTTAAGCGAGAGAAGCTTTTTTAGAGACTGTTGTGTCCTTGAGTGCGTCACATGTGACCCTGATTTAAAGAATACTCTTGATTCCAGACTTTCAGAGATAGCTCGATTACATAAGATATTACCTAAATTAAGCTCAGATGTTGCAGTAATAATCTCACACCCACACGGTTTGGAAAAGAAAATAAGTTTTGGCTCATGCCGTCAGGTATCTAAAACAAAAAAATGGATTTTGAGCTTGACGACGTATGAATATGACACTGCTACATGCGAAGGAAGCAGTGGTTCTCCTGTTATCATACTGCAGGACTTGTGGGCTCAGAGCGGTTCTAGAGTTCTGATAACCAATCTGCCAACACACATTGGCTCTAGCGATGAAAACAGCTTTTGTGGAGGCAGCTACGATACAACTTTAAACGTATGTATACAACAGTAATGCAAATAAAAACACACACACACATACACACACATACACACACACACACACACACACACACACACACACACACACATATATATATATATATATATATATATATATATATATATATATACCTGTATTAAAGTATAAAGATAGTTAACGATCGCTGCTTTTAAAAATAAACGAACACTATAGTTTTAACAATATATATATATATATATATATATATATATATATATATATATATATATATATGAGTGTGTGTTTAATATAGTTTATGGGGAAGGGGGCGTTTTCCATTATTGTTGTCATAAATTCCATAACGTCTTTGACAGCGTAAAGTTTTTTTTGTGTGTGTCGAGTCGATAAAAACTTCGACATGAAGTGGCACAAGTAAAAAAAAAAATGAGTTTGGGAGTCCATATTCCTATGACCCCCTTTATCCAACAACTTTCTGCTTATGCCTCTTTGATTTTTGATCGTCCATGATTCAATTTGTTCCGAGTCATATCAGAGAAAATTCAGTTTAATTATATTCAATTATATTATATTAAGTGTATATACTTATACATTTAACGTGTACGCCATACTCAAATGTGCAATAAATTCTTACATGTATTAAATAATCAATTTTTTTTACCATCTCAACAGCCAAACTGGCGTAGAAGAAGTATTTACAAGGATGCTACTCCGCCGGGTAGGTCGTAGAGGATTTATCTAGCAAATTAAATATCTAAACAATTTTGTCTTGTTTGTACTGATAAACAACAAAATAAAAGATGAAAATGTGACGCACTTACATTGCAAACTCATGTATTATATTACAGGACACAACTTTAGTAAACTCAGACTTCAAGCGTCCTCGTTTCTAGATCAGTTTTCAGAATGCAAGAACAAGTCTGAGCACTCTAATCTGATTCCCTTTAGCGCGTTCACAATGGAGGATTTACCCGAGGCGGACAGAGACAAAGATACAAGGAAGTTAATTGAGACGGTCGCTAAATTAACCTGTAAAGTCACCGTTCGCAACACGGCTCTCGACCGGCCTAAATACTACCCAGGCACAACGAAGCTTTACCCAACACATCGTGGTAGAAGACACAGCGAAATGCGAACGGGAAGTGGGGTTGTTTACTTTTCAAGTGGAATCTTCAGGAATGAATCCAGCAGATGTTGTTGCCACGATTGTCAAGAAGTAAATGACCCGGTGGTGGGGTTTACTGTTGTTTATGTTCGAACAGCGAAGCATGTTGTTTTCAACACCATCGAGGCAACCTACGCCAGGTTCAGTTTTAAAAATACTCCCGGGGACAAATTAATGGAGTTGGCTGGGATTAGTGTTGTGGATAGCGATATCGAGTCGGATTTCAGCATCGTTGAGTGCGTTACACACGAGCTAGATGCCGCGGAATTGTTTGAAGGGATACAAAAAGAAATGATGCGATTGGATACATTAATTAGGTCAAGGTCGAATGACCGAAAAATTAAAATAAGTAAACTTGCAGTGGTGGTATCCCACCCCCACGGGTGGGGCAAGGTGGTCAGCGTGGGGGAGTCGGTGAGGAAGGCGGTCACGAACCAGACTGTGGACGACATGCAGACGTCGTACAGCCACACGTCGATGACGTGCCCCGGGTCCAGTGGTGGGCCGGTTGTTCTGATGGACCAAAAGGAGCCAAAAGTCTTGAAGCGTTTTCTGATGCCGCATGTGCATAGCTGCGGCGAGGGAGTGCAGAAAGGTTTCAGCGGTCAAGGGGTTTCTGGGTTCGTTAAGTTGACGTAAATTTGCTTAGGGTTTTTGGTATTTATACAGTCGGGAAAATCTTCTTAGGTTTTTTTTTTATTCATAAATTTGCGGCAAATGTTTTTGTATATTAGGATTCTTACAGTTGGGAAAATGTTCTTAGGGTTAGTGGTTCATAAAGTTAACATATATGTTCTTAAGTTTTTATGCCTTATGACGATTCACAACTTATAGGCAAAAATAAATATTTATCAATATTTTGGCTGCTGTAGATATGTAAATAATAGAAGGACATAAGAAATCAGGAAATATGGTGTTTTGCAAGGAAGCACATGCTATTTAAAGATAAGTGTAATTAATTGCTGTATTTACTTGTATTTTTTATGGAAGTAAGAATGTATATTATGAGGAACAATGTGTACGTTAACTAGCATTGTATATATTGTAAGAAAATAAAGTTGTTTTGTATGAAAATGTGTGTATATTAAAGTGAGTAGCGATTGTTAAAGGATTATAGGACGAATGATTTTTAAATGATTTTTTAAGATATTGTGATGAATTAGCTGGGTATGGCGACAATGTCTTTCAACTAATTTTTTAAAATATATATTGATTACAATTTTGAGCGATTATTTATTGTTACTTTCGAAACACTTTATTTTTGTAATTCATTATTTTCTTATATTTATGTAAAATTGAAGCTACGATATTGGTGAAATCAGATAATCAATTGTCGCATGAAATTTCTAGCTTAAGGGGATATGCGCGGAAAAAAAAATCACAAAATTTCTTGTTTTTCGTCATGATGGGTTTCTTGCACTTTTGGATACTTTGTCCATTTTTGTATAAAGAAAATAATAACTTTAAAGTGAAAAAATATTTTAAGTGTTTGGATTATGATTTTTATGACCCTATTAATTAAAAAAATAATCAATTTTTCCCAATCTTACAAGCTCTCTATGAAAAGTTTTATATCCGTCATTATATTGTATTTGACATCTTTGGAAAGCTGGATTTCTCATGTATCTAATAAACTTAATTTCCAACATCTCGGAAACACCCAAAGCTTACAATCGGCTTTGCAGTTTACACAGATATGGTACTTTCCTAACCTAGTTTTCGTATGCGACGTATGGGACAAGGGGACACAACAAAGTAACAAATGTTACCATTTCTCTTTGTAGACTTCGTTTAATCAGTCTGTCTCTAACACCTTTACTAATGTTTTAATCAAAGGCCCATCTCTTGAATACACTTCACTAAATTTATAGATAAAAACTTTATGTAGTTTTAATTTTGCTGTCGGCGCTTGGGCGGTCGTCCACAAGCTCCGCCTAGCTACACCTCTGCATTTATTATTATATATTATTAAAACTATGTTTTTGGATCATCTGCATATATTACTACAAGGAAAACCGAAAAAATAGTTTTATTCTTAGCTGAGGCAAATACTATGCTTTTACAGTCTAAAGCAAGGCAGGCAAAAGAAACTGTTGACTATCGTCGACTAAAAATTTGATATTAATATAGATAGTATAGATTGAAATGTTGTACAATAAAACAATGTGAATGTTCTTGTTATTCACCTTAATTTATATCCAATAAGGACCTAATTTCTTTGTCATAACGGTATACAAACACCCAAAATATGCTGTAATTTGGACTTAGGTCGGCCACACCCAGCCAGTCCGTGGACTAGCGGCCAAAGTCCAAAATCAAGAACAGTGTAAGATATCCAAAGAAAAATTCAGATGATGTTGGCCAAAACGCACATTGAAATCTTTTGGACATTTGCTGTAATATATATATATATATATATATATATATATATATATATATATATATATATATATATATATATATATATATACACATACACACACACACACACACATATATATCTATATATATATATATATATATATATATATATATATATATATATATATATATATATATATATATATATATATATATATATATATACATATATATATATATATACGTATATATATATATATTTTTTTTTACAGAAGTTTTGAAATGAAAATTTATTATCTTAAATTAACTCTCCATGGTCTCTTCAGTATATTTCCCCTTTTCTGCCACTGTCTTAGCTAATTGCTTTCTTTTCCAGTATTTTCTTTCTGTCTTTGTCAAGCTGCAACTTCACAATAACAGTCTTGGATGGATGAATGCCAACATGAACAATGGCTCCATTAGCTTTTTCTCTCTGTATACGCTCAATGTACACAACAAACTTCTTTCTATAAGCTTGAACAATTTTTCCCAACTGTTGCCCCTTGTAATGGCCACGTACAACCTGAACTTCATCATCTTTTCTAATTAGCATGCTTCTGACATTATATTTAGTACGCAGCTCTTTAGAGAGTGGGGCACTCATGATTTTCCTTCTAATGTGGGAAGGAGCATTGAAGTGGCGAGCCCTGTTTTTTTCTTCTGGAACCTAACACAGCTTTGTTGAACTTCATTCTCAGGTCTTATTTTGTTATGGCCGAAACGATATATAAATATAAAGTTCATTTCTGCATATGACGAATGAATGGGCGGACGGACCCATGGTAAGAGAGAGAGGAACAGTAAAAATTTAGACTTGATCGCCTTAATGTGATTTATCTAAAATACTTATTAACTAAATTAATAATTTAAAAAAAATTAATGTAGAAGGTTTTATAAAACATTCATTTTCTAAACTTACAGTGTCAATAGACGGCATGTGCATCAAACAAAATCAAAGAATATTTATCACCCTTTAAAAAAATTCTAATTGTGTCTGAAAATTACTTTCTTTTAGTCTTTTAGCACTAATTACTTCCCTTGAAAAATTACTAAACACAACTACTTCCCTTTAAAAAAACATCACATTGGGGGAAAAATTATTTTTATTACTTTGTTTTGGTGTTAGGAAAAAAATAATTACATAATAAGCATGGATTGATAAAGTGCAATGTGGTAGGTAAAACAAGGATATTCTAAATACTGCCTTTTATATATATATATATATATATATATATATATATATATATATATATATATATATATATATATATATATATATATATATATATATAGATATATGTAAATATATATATATATATATATATATATATATATATATATATATATATATATATGTGTGTGTGTGTGTGTGTGTGTATGTGTGTGTGTGTGTATTACAGTGATAGCCTTAAGTGCGGTCAATGCATACATTGGCAGGCTCTGTTGGCCAAAGCCCGAAAATTAACAACGTATGTCATACACGTAAATAACATATACTTACCAAGGACTTTGGATAGAGTTGCCAATATATGCTTGTAGCATGAAACTTAACTGTATTGATTTTTTTATATTTAAACTAAAGGTTACACAATAACGGTGCTGTCAGAGAATAGAAGGTAAATCGATTTATGTTTCGGATTAGAGTTGTCTATTCAAGCTTTGCGAATGCTGAAATGTACAAAAGAGCTGTACAATAAGTTACAACGTAAGCTTGTTTAACCTTTGGATCATTTTGTATTCAATGTTGCATAACGACACCACGCCGCTTGCCGATAAAAATGTGTCTCACTTAAGTGTAGGAGATATATTTAGTTAAGATATAATGGCTTTTCAAAGTGGAGATGTTACATGGCTTGACTGGAGTTGAATGTTATTATTAAAGTTTGTGTGATTTTTTCTTCTATCCACGATATAATTAATATTATTTTTAATTGCAAAACAGTAGCCTGTTTTATATGAATACTTAAATTTGATTTGTTGCCTAATTGGCATCAACAAAAGTTAAGGTTTGCAATATTTCTCAAATATGATGTATATATTTATATATACCTTATGTATGTCACCCCATTCAACATTTCCAGTACGCGGCTACGCCCTTGCATTTAGGGCCTTATAATTAATCGATTATTATGCCTACACACTTACAGGGCTAAACAATTTCAAGTTGGTGATCTTTAAAGCTGCACATTTCAAGGCCTTCTCTCATTACTATGGCAAGTTCACGATTACCTCAGCGGAGACAAGGTAAATTTCTATTTCTAAAACAGTTTTAATACTTTATTGCCTTAGAGGAAGCTCCCTATTTTTATTATCTTTAAATGTCAAGCCTTATTGTTTAAAAACAATATGATCTAATATCATTTCAATTAGTATTTATTTGAGATATTTGGTGTGGTCCTATTTGCAGTTCTTTCGATTTGTAGTATCCACATTATCAATTTTCTTGCTCAAATTGTACTATATTAAAGAGCTGTTACAACTCTCACATAAATATTAATCTTTTAAAAAATAAAAATCATTTTCAAATTGCTAGATGCTTTTCTTGTAAGCAGATAGGAAGATGTTAATAATAATATCGCGTTTAATTTTAAAAAACTATTCAAACTTGTCAAATAATGCATGATTACCATTAGGGGTATAGATCTCTATCAGAAAAAAATTCTTAATCTTACGTCTTAAAGAATTTGTTAACTCCAAGCATTTTGTAACCACAAAAATAATTCATATTAAACTTTTTGACCGACTGAATTAGTTATGTTTTGGTAGTTATATGAAAGTTACATTTTTTTGCGATTTTCTCAAATGCAGAAGCAAACCCCACTGGCATTGAATGCTCGGTCACGATAACAGAAACCACAAAATATTGTGCAGTATCTGAAACATGCACTGCACTTGAGGTAAGTTATTATTTAATCAATACTTTTAAAGTAGTTTACCGTTTACAAAATTAATTAAAGCATGCAATACATTTTTAACACACTATTCGAGTTTCAGTGCTTTATTTTTACAAAATTTATGAATGGAATTTGAGTACATTATTTTTACACTTAAAATTTAACAAATATTTATGAATGAATCTTATCGCCAAACGAATTAGTTCAAACAACGACATCTTCCCCCTAATGACGTTGTGCTCGTATTTCACGATGGGACAGAAGTAACTATGAACGACGACGAGGAATTTGGAGCAGATAGATTAAATGCATGTAGATGTATCAAAATAGTCCACAGAAAGTGAGTAAAACATTTACATTATTATTTGAGAAAACACAGTTAAGTTATATTTTAAAAAGATAGAGAAAAAAAAAACAAGTTGGATAAAACCACTAAATTATACCTTACGCTGCTTGATGTTAATGCTAGCTAAATTTTAATAATAAAAAAAATAAATAAAAAAGAACACACAGATTAAAAATAATTAGTAACGGAAATTATTTACGTTTTTCTCTGCAGTAATTAAATGCTAGCTTGCTTCACCCATTGGCGAACTGGAGATATCACACTGCATTATGAATAAAGTTATGAAATTACATTTACTTTTCGTTTTACTATTTCATTTCTCTATATGTTGTATTTTTTATATATATGTATATATATATATATATATATATATATATATATATATATATATATATATATATATATATATATATATATATATTTGTATATATGTATATATATATATTTTTGTATATAAATATGATATCATGTTTGTCTGTCTGTTTATTTGTCTATTTGTCTGTTTGTCTCCAATGCATTGCTACACCTTTCATCCGATAGTCATTAAACTTTGGGAACTTGTTAAGCAAAAAAAAAAACAAAAAAAAAAACAATTCAAATTTTTATGGGTGGCGCCCCGGTAA